CAGCCCCCGGCCCCAGGAGCGAGAGCCGAGTCCCAGCGCCGGGCAGGGGGACGGTGAGCCAGGCCCCGGGAAAGCAGCGGTTTGTTGGCGGCAGAGCTTGGCAGGCACTCAAGAAAACAGGAAGGAAATAGATTATGTTCGCTCACATCAGTTAACGGAATTTTTCTGAATTTATTTAAATCTGACCCTCGCTTCTTCCCTTGCCCGTGAAGCGTCTGCGGCGCTGAGAAAGGTGCCGGCGTAACGTAGAGCGGAGAAAAATAAGGGTGTGAGTGGCCCTCGTGAGCCACGGGCCGGGGCCACACGGGCCCTCCCAGGCAGCTGCTCCCAGCCCCGGGGCCACCAACTGGCCCCAGGGCCACCCGCCCCATCACTGGGCTCTGAACACGGCCCAATGTTTTCTCAGCCCGAAAAAGCAAAAAAGCTTGCGCAGGTTTTTCAGGGTTTCCTCACCACAGCAGCTTTTGCTTCAAACCAGCTTTCAGGGGTGAAACGGGAAGTTGTGCCTTAAGTAATAACGTACGTCGAATTTAAGACTCTTTAAGGAGGGACGTTTATTTACTGATTGCCAGTCCCTACAATTCCTCAGGTTTAATATAAAAATGTGGGGTCTTAGCTTAAGGAAAAAAAAAAAAAAGGTCAACTCTGGGCATTTAGGCCAGTAGAACACATGGCTCCCTTTCTCAAGACAGTGGATTTTTGATCAGTACAGACTCAGAACGACTGCTCTCTGCCCCGCCTCAAAGAGGGGATTTTCTAGAATGGCTTTTGATGGGAATTCTAAAACAGGAGCGAGCTCACGCTCCCAGCCTGGTTGTTATAGGAGCAAATCCACCCGTTTGCCACTGCTGACCCCTGAGATCTGTTCTGACCCCAAAGCCTCCCCCCGAAGGCACAAGCAGCCAGCGGGGAGCGCGGCGGGACTCGGAGCACATCCCCTACGCACACCTCCAGCTCCTCCCTCCCGCCGCGGCCAGTGCACCCTGCACAGGGCGCTCCTGCCCCAAATACCAAAAAAACGTTCAGTCCACGGAGCACCCGCCAGCTGCTGCGTTTCCAGCGTCCCCCACGGCACCAGGAGCAGCACACGGGAACACTGGTCTGAGAGCGGTCCCCAAAAACCAGCGTCCGCGCTCCCCATGCTCCCGCCAGCCTTCCTCCCACAGGAGAGCTGGCGCTCTTTGGGGAGCGCCCATATTTCTGTTTGCCTTCCCCAAAGGGGGGGTGGGTGTGTCAGGATTTACGCTTCGCCACCCCGGGCAGGAGGTGGGTGCAGCCCCACAAGAGCTGGGACACGGGACACCTGCGCTGGGGCCACCCAGCACCAATAAGCCCTTGCCCCGGATTGCGTCCACAGGCCGCCGGCACACCAAGGCGCCAGGAATTGTTCTGCCAAACCAACAGCAACGATCAGAAAAGAGACACGTTCCCCTATCGCCTGCTGGGATTTCAAAGGCGGGGGACACCGGGAGCGCCGGCCCTCCCGCTGGTCACCACCACCCCGGCAAAGAAGGGTCCCCACGAGGATCCACAACACCGACACAGCATCACACAAAGCTTCACTAGCCTCCACGGGCACTTACTGGCCAGGCTCGTCACGAGTCATCGCGACATGACAATACACGACAGCAAAAACACCCAAAGAACACGACACCTCTCCACGTGAGCGTAAGCCCGCAACAACGACACAGTCTGGGGGTCACCCCGGCCCCAAGGGGAGGCTGTGACGAGTCACCCGGTCACGCAGCGAATAGGGACCAAGGCCAGCAGGTCACAGCCCACACCCACACAACTCGACACTCCTTCACATCACAGCCAGGTCACGCGGCGCCGCAAAAGCCTCCGGCTCCACGCTCCTCCCGGCCTTTACAGCTAAGGGAAAACCTTCAAACAACGGTAAGTACTGTGGGAAAAGCCTTTTTTAAAAAGAAAAAACCAAACACAAACAACAAACCAAGACTAAAGTCGGCAAGAACAGAGGTAGTGTTCATGTCACCATTTTAAGGATTTTTCCACAAGTGCCCTGTTTTAAACTCGAGACTTGCGTTCCGTAAAAAAAAAAAAAAAAAGTCATGACTAATTATTTCGTCGAGTCTTTGAAACAGGATATTTCAGCATTTTATATATATAGATAGATAAATAGATACAAATATCTATCTATATATACACACACACAAAACCACATTCTTATACTTGGCAAACAGCACTAGAAATAGCATCCTGCAGGACAACAGGCAACTCACAAAGTCCTCTTCTAAGCCATGCAATACATTTTATTTTCCCTTGTGCCATTCATCATGACCCATTATGTTGTGGTTTTTGTTTGTTTTTTTTTTTCCTCCCCACTTCGACTACAAGGAGGGGAAGAAGAGGGGGCATCAGATCAACCACTGCAAGTCAGATGATAAAACTGCATCGGTGCAATGAATAAACGCCATAAAAAAAATACCCAAATCCACCCCCCCTGCTCCCCCCGCAGAAGGCATCAACTTTTGCCCATCCAAAGCGTGTTCTTCAAGTTCCCGACCGCCGGCTTCGCTGCCAGCTTGGCGGCGACCTCTGCGCTCCTCAGCGCGGCCTGTGGCTCACAGAGCACAGAAGACTCGCTTGAAACGGCCTCTTTTGAGTCCGTCACGGTTGACACATCCATGTCACTCGATAAGTCCTCGGAGGACAAGTTCAGACATCCGAGCTTGGCGAGGGAGTTGGACCTTTTCAGAGGAGAGGACACAGTCAAGCCGGCCAGCCGCAGCCTGGTCTCGATCTCCTGAGTCCGCTGCTTCACCAGGCCGGGTTTGCCCCGCACGCTGTGGATGCTGTCGCTGCTGGAGCTGCGCGTCAGGTTGGAGCTCCGGGAGGAGGAGGGGGTGTAGCAGATGGTCTTCAGGAAGTCCTTGGTGAAACTGCTCGTGTGCTCCAACCGACAGGCGACAGGCGTGGAGGTTTTCTGAGAGATCCCCTCCAAGACGCGTTTCACCTCTAACTTCTCCACGTCGTTTTCTGAGTCTCCGGGGATCAGCGGTGCCGCTCCCAGCAGGGGCACGAGGCCGTGAGGTGGAACCAGATCCTCGTTTTCCTCTGCGATGCTGGAGTCGACCCTGCTCAGGGGGCTGTCTCTGAGCAGCGAGGCGGCGGCCGAGGGCAGGTTCTTCAGCCGCTCCAGCTCTTTGGTGTGCTTCCTCACCAGGCCCGCCTTCTGCAGCTGAATGAGAGACTCCTGGTGCTGCATCAAGTAACTGTTTGCACTTGGCTTTTCCAAGTCTTTGCTGAACAAGTACTTGAGCTCCTTGCTGGGTTTGCTGTCTTTTCTGGCTAGAGCCTCTTCTTTTACCACTTCTGCATTAAGGAGGCTTCTGTCACAGTGCGAGTTTCTCCTGGGCAGCAGAGTTCTGACCGGGGTTCTTGGTGCATCTTTTCCTTTCTCCAAAACATCGCAGGGTTGATCGAGTGATTTGCAAGTGCCAGGCTCCAGCATACCAGTTCCTGCCGACAGAGGAAGCGCAGCCTCGTTATTTTTAGTTCTGATTGCTTCCTCGGAGCGTGTCTTGCTGGGCAGGTGGTCGGCCAAGTTGGAGTTGATGTGGGAGAGGAGGGCTGGCTGCGTGCAGATGGTGGTGCTGCGACGCGTGGTGCTGGCGTTCAGCTTCTCACATTGCTCCCCGAAGGAGTCGGGGGACAAACTGCCCGAGGAATACATACAGTCAGCACAAGACTGATAGGAAGGCTTGACCTTACTGAGGATCCCAAACACGGCATCGTGCTGCAGAAAAAAAAAAAAAAAAAAAAAAAAAAAACAGCTAAATGTGCATCAGCAATCGGCAGAGCGAGAGGCACAGACCACAAGATAAATTTACAGCCAAGCAGATCTGAAAGGAAGCCCGTCTCCACTTCTAAGGCCCTGCAGCAGGAATAAAAGCCACGTACTTTCTCAGCAGACAGTATCTCCAACGGAAGAATACCTACCGTTTCAAGCGATGGTCATGCAAGCGAGTTGCCCAAAGCAGTTTACAGGGCACCCGCGTGTGTGCGCTCGCTCTCTGGCATCTAAATCCACAGCTTGGGCAAGCAAAGCCATGTTCAGAAGCACTTCGAAAAGGAAGAAGCTCGTCATGGAATGAAAGCCTTTATCCAAGTCAAATGAAACCGTGCTATGAAGATGAGAAGAGTAGTTTCACTTGCAGTAGAGTCAGCCATGCTAATCACCTACATTTCAACTCCATACGCACCTCAAAATCCTCCGGGCAACTCCTTTTGCTGTTGTTGTTATTCAAGTTCTCCCTATTAAGCCTGCTCTCCTCCTTGTGCGTGGACAGACGCCGCTTCCACTTCTCCATCGGATTTTCCTCCCTGACGCCATCCTCCCCTGGCCCCCCGGGGCCCAGCACCATCCTTCCCTTCCGGGGGCTGAAATCCAGTTTCTTCTTCACCTCCTTCTCGGTGAAGCTGCTCAGCTCTGCTGTCTCCAGCGCTTTCCCCGTCTCCGAAGCTGCTGATGGAGGTTGTCCCGCCAGCGAGGCAGCGCGCTGCTCCGCGAGCGCTTCCCGCTCCAGCTCCTCCACGTGGAAAAACCCTCCCCTGTCCCCGGGAATCTTGTTCTCCAGCAGCGTGTCCGAGAGGCGCCGGAAGCAGTAATTAAACCCCACGGACACTTCCGTGCCGGCACGGTTGTCCAGGAACGCCGACTGTGAAGGCGTGTCCAGGTCAGCCAGGCGGTTTTCTAGGTCGATGTCCAAGCTCTCGAGCAAGAAGTCGCCCGACCCCGGGGTGCCGTCTGTGTTCTGGGGGAGGTTGCTCTCTGCCTGCTGCTTCCACAGCTTATTGTGGCGCTGCTTGCTGGGGGAAAGGACAAAGACACCAGTGACTCCCACTGAACTGTAGGATGCTTAGTCCCAGAACATTCACAGAATCCCAGAATCATCCAGGTTGGAAAAGCCCCTGAAGCTCCTCCAGCCCCACCATGACCCTCCCCCTGACCGTTCCCAACTCCCCCAGATCCCTCAGCGCTGGCTCAGCCCGACTCTTCAACCCCTCCAGGGATCCCGGGGACTCCCCCCTGCCCTGGGCAGCCCATTCCAACGCCCAACAGCCCCTTCTGCACAGAAATCCTTCCTCAGAGCCAGCCTGACCCTGCCCTGGGCAGCTTGAGGCCATTCCCTCGGGGCCTGGCGCTGGGGCCTTGGCTCCAGAGACTCAGCCCCCCTCTCTGCCCCCTCCTGGCAGGGAGTTGCCGAGGGCCAGGAGGTCTCCCCTCAGCCTCCTCTTCTCCAGACT